ATGGATGGATGATGGATGGATGGACGGATAAATGGATGGATGAATGAATGAATGATGGATGGATGGATATATAGATGGATGGATGGATGGATGGATGGATAAATGGATGGATGAATGAATGATGGATGTATGGATGGATGAATGGATGGATGAATGGATGGATGATGGATGGATGGATGATGGATGGATGGATGGATGGATGGAGGATGGATGGATGATGGACGATGGATGGAAGGATAGATAGATGGATGGATGGATGATTGATGGATGGATGATGGATGGATGGATGATGGATGGATGGATGATGGATGATGGATGGATGATGGACGATGGATGGAAGGATAGATAGATGGATGGATGGATGATTGATGGATGGATGGATGATGGATTGATGGATGGATGGATGGATGGATGGAGGATGGATGGATGGATGGATGGAGGATGGATGGATGAATGGATGAATGCATGAATGAATGTTGGGTGGTTGGATGATGGATGATGGATGATGGATGGATGATGGATGATGGATGGAAGGATAGATAGATGGATGGATGATGGATGGATGGAGGATGGATGGATGATGGATGAATGAATGATGGATGGATGGAGGATGGATGGATGGATGGATGGAGGATGGATGAATGGATGAATGAATGTTGGATGGTTGGATGATGGATGATGGATGATGGATGGATGATGGATGATGGATGGAAGGATAGATAGATGGATGGATGATGGATGGATGGAGGATGGATGGATGGATGGAGGATGGATGGATGGATGGATGGAGGATGGATGGATGGATGAATGGATGAATGAATGTTGGATGGTTGGATGATGGATGATGGATGATGGATGGATGATGGATGATGGATGGAAGGATAGATAGATGGATGGATGATTGATGGATGGATGGATGATGGATGGATGGATGATGGATGGATGGATGGATGGAGGATGGATGGATGGATGGATGGAGGATGGATGGATGGATGAATGGATGAATGAATGTTGGATGGTTGGATGATGGATGGATGATGGATGATGGATGGAAGGATAGATAGATGGATGGATGGATGATTGATGGATGAATGAATGATGGATGGATGGAGGATGGATGGATGGATGGATGGAGGATGGATGGATGGATGAATGAATGTTGGATGGTTGGATGATGGATGATGGATGATGGATGGATGATGGATGATGGATGGAAGGATAGATAGATGGATGGATGGATGATTGATGGATGAATGAATGATGGATGGATGGATGGATGGATGAATGAATGTTGGATGTTGGATGATGGATGATGGATGGATGATGGATGGATGGATGGATGGAGGATGGATGGATGGATGAATGGATGAATGAATGTTGGATGGTTGGATGATGGATGATGGATGGATGATGGATGATGGATGGAAGGATGATGGATGGATGGATGATGGATGGAAGGATAGATAGATGGATGAATGGATGGATGATGGATGGATGATGGATGATGGATGGAAGGATGATGGATGGATGGATGATGGATGGAAGGATAGATAGATGGATGAATGGATGGATGATGGATGGATGATTGATGGATGGATGGATGATGGATGGAAGGATAGATAGATGGATGAATGGATGGATGATGGATGGATGATTGATGGATGGATGGATGATGGATGGATAGATGGATGGATGGATGGATAGATGGATGGATGAATGAATGATGGATGGATGAATGAATGAATGGATGGATGAATGAATGATGGATGGATGGATGATGGATGGATGGATGAATGGATGGATAGATGGATGGATGGATGATGGATGGATGGACGGATGGATATATAGATGGATGGATGGATGGACGGATAAATGGATGGATGAATGAATGATGGATGTATGGATGAATGGATGGATGAATGGATGGATGATGGATGGATGGATGATGGATGGATGGATGGATGGATGGATGATGGATGGAAGGATAGATAAATGGATGGATGGATGATTGATTGATTGATGGATGGATGGATGATGGATGGATAGATAGATGGATGGATGGATGGATGGATAAATGGATGGATGAATGAATGATGGATGGAGGATGGATGGATGAATGAATGATGGATGGATGGATGAATGGATGGATGGACGGATAAATGGATGGATGAATGAATGAATGATGGATGGATGGATATATAGATGGATGGATGGATAAATGGATGGATGAATGAATGATGGATGGATGTATGGATGGATGAATGGATGGATGATGGATGGATGGATGATGGATGGATGGATGGATGGAGGATGGTTGATTGATGGATGGATGGATGGATGGATGGACGGATAAATGGATGGATGAATGAATGATGGATGAATGGATGGATGGATGGATGGATGGATGGATGGACGGTTGGATGGATGGATGGATGAATGGATGGATGATGGATGGATGATTGATTGATGGATGGATGATGGATAGATAGATGGATGAATGGATGGATGATGGATGGATGATTGATTGATGGATGGATGATGGATGGAAGGATAGATAGATGGATGTATGGATGATTGATGGAAGGATGATTGATGAATGGATGGATATATGGATGGATGAATGGATGGATGGATGGATGGACGAATAACCTTCTGCTGGAGGATCAGATCGGTCTGGAATCCTGAGCTCCCTCCCTCTCTGACCTCTGCTCTCTGATGGATGAATGGATGAATGGATGAATAACTTTCTGCTGGAGGATCAGATCGGTCTGGAATCCTGAGCTCCCTCCCTCTCTGACCTTTGCTCTCTCACCTTCAGGATGTTAAAAACATCTAAACTCCTTCAGGGTTAAAGCTGCAGCCAGAAGCTGTGAAAGTAGGTTATCTTTGCTCTGCAGGGTTCCATGAAGGAACCTCAGATCTGCTCTTCCTCCCAGTCAATCCTGAGCTTGACAGAGATAAAATAATCTGCTCTGAGCTCAAATGTCCATGATGAAGAGTTCCAGAACCACAAAACCGAATCTCTGACTGCTGCCTCAGAAGAGAGAGGTCAGGCTGGTTCCGCTGCTGGTGCCAGACATCCTCACAAACCCCAGACCTAGGTCAGAGACCTTCAGCACTTCAAAACTGGAAGGTCCTCAAAGGGTCTGAGCATACTGGACCAGACTTCCTGGAAAACCAAGAAACCCAACAAGAAGAAAACCATCACCTTAGAACCAGAGCAGCTCTGTCCTCTGAGCATCCATATGTGGAACATTGGGTGGAAGAAGAGAGGCAGGGCAGCGGGTAGGGCTGTCGGTTCGGTGTGCACCACGGAGACGGACGTGGTGCATGTTCTCTTCTGACCATGTGACCCAAAACCTAAATCTCTTAATAAAGTTACAAGATCCCCCCCCGAACACACACACCCCAGACTACCCCCTCCCCACCCCCACCCCCCATTGCCTCTAATGTTCTCTTTTTCCTTCTCTGCTCCCTGCAGTTCGCCGTCAGAACATGAAGGTCCGGATCAACGCCACGGGCGACACCATTGTCATGAAGTTTGTGCGTCCGAGCCAGGACGTGAAGCTGGAGGGCTACATCCTGGGATATGGAAGGAGTGTTTTCTCCAAACAGTTCATCCAGCTGCCAGAGAACGGCCAGATGTATGAAACAGAGCTAGGTAAGAAGAACGGGTCTGCTGGACCTGATGGTTCAGGTAGATGTCCTTTTCTGAATGTTTAGCTTGGATCCTTCAAGGTGAGTCCTGGAAGTTTCAGGTCTGAACATTGGGTTCTGGAGCAGCCTCAGGGTCTCAGTCAGGTGTAGGGCTTAGCAGGATGGTCCTGGTCCATCTGGCAAATCTAGAAATCTATCATGTGGGCGTTGTTGCTTCCATCAAGAGGAGAACTTCCAGACCTTCTGTCCAGGTGAAACCTTCAGAGGAGAACCATTCTTCTCTCACAGACGTGTGTTCAGTCAGAATAAGGAGGTTTCTGGTGTCTTCTCCATCATTAGCATCAGAGAAACAACCTTTGATTGTTCGGTGTTACGGCTGATAGGCCTGGTGGTTCTGGCCAGATCTAGACTGTGCTGCTCCTGGTCAAGGAGGCTCCATGGATTCATATTAGCTGCTGGGAAACACCAGAAGTTCAATCTGTTCTGATTATTTTCTTCAAAGGGGTTCATGGTTTCTGATGCCAACCACAAGAAGACAGAGGTATGGATGGACTGGACATCTGTAGGACTGTGGACAGTTTGCTGTTTGATCTGAGCATCCCGGTCCATCAGAACTAGGTGTAGGTCCATCCCTTTGTGCTGGTGGAGCCTCCAGGCTTGGTCCTCTCATTCAGTTGTTGTGATTTAACTGCTCCGTTCCAGCAACTCACACGTTTAGACCTCTGCAGGACCATGCTTCTGCTTAATGGTTTAAGATGTTAAACACAAACTAAAACCTCTTTAGCTTTGCAGAAGAAGTGGCTTAGTGGGAGACTGGAGAAGGTGTTGGAGCAGGGTTAGCATCAGGCTGCAGGGTTTAGTTTTTGATGCATTGCAGCCATTTTCAAGCTGAGCTCTTCATTCTGTAACAGATGGTCTGAGTCTGTAGCATCTAAGCCGTCCTTAAAACCTCCCTGGCTCTACATGAAGCCTGAACCTCTCACCTTTAACACGTTCTCACTTCTTCAGAGCTCCGTCCAGGTGTTCCTGCAGAGAACGTTTGCCTGTTCTGTAATGGCTTCCATATGTGCGTCTGCACAGTGTCCCCCTGTGGGGCCAGCAGCTCGCTGCCATGACATCCCCTTCATCTTGGCTTTCCATAACAGGGTCCAGCATTCCTGACATGTTTCAGCCTAGCTGGGCTACCACAGAACCCATCCAAGGTTCTAATAGGCTGGAAGGGCTCCAGCTTCAACACTTCTACCTAAACGTTTGTTCCAAGGTCTGCATGATCATAGGAGCTTACACAAAGAAATGTGAGTTAATTCTGTGTTTCAGAAAGAAACAAGCATCAATGGTAACAGAAACAAACGAGCTTCAATATGCAGAGATGAAGCAGAAGCAGACAGAGAGTCACTGTTAGAATAAACTGTGTCTGAGCTCATCAAGCACCTCATGTCGTCTCAGATGCTGAACCAAAGTATCTGGTTGCTGTCCAGCCCATTCCAGTCAAAGATGGGAAGAAGCACTGCACAGGTAGGTGACCAGAAGCTCTGAGCTGTCCTTAATGTCTAAAGACTTCTCACAGATATTCTTCTCCAGGTAAGGTGAACCTGGAGAAGCCTCTCCACTTGGTGATTGGGTCCATCAGTCCCACGGCGGTGCTGCTCTCCTGGGGGAACCACCTGAAGACGCCGTATGAGAAAAACATCATGAACGAATGTCTGGAGGACGGGTAATTGTTCTACTTCCACTACCAGCATAGAGTTCAGAGGAATTTAAACTAGCCTGGTAATTTATGATTAGCAGACCTGATCCTAACGACATGACCAATGATCTGTCAGGAAGCTGTGATCACTGGACGCACCAAAGCCTCTTCGTCCACATTGAGACATATCTGTCCCATTGGGACAATGAATTACAGCAGACGTATGGTTTGAATCCTCCATCTGTGTTGAGTGATCATACACAGCCTCCTACAGCCACATTTTTCCTCTCTGTCAAACAAGTTGGAGAAGCCTTTGGAAATCTTGACCCATCAGTCCTTCGCTGCTCTTTTTATAGCTGACATCAGCTCTTTCTGCACAGCGCTTGGCTGCCGGCTTGCAGCTTTTGGATCCCCACTCTGAAAAACACAACTTTAGGGAGAGAAAGTGGAGATGCACGAGGCGGCCAGAATGAACAAGATGCTTGTTTCCATGCTGAGGTCATGACTGCTGCAGGCAGCCAGAGAGAAACCACAGGACTGAAGGAAGCAGGGCGTAGAGCGCTAGCTAATCAACTGTCCAATGTCGGGGTCTTGTTAGCCTGACACCTCAGAGCTGCAGTCAACAAAACTTTGATGAGATCCAGACCTTCAGTCTTGGTTTAATAAAGACCTTTTTGGTTCTTTTGGTGAAACTGATCTTTTCTGAACCTTTAAACATTCAGATCTCTTTCTCTAGCACACCAAATCTTCTCATTTTCAGAACCTCTAACCTTTCTGCTAATTGGATCTTCTTTTTTCTGATGATAAACCTGTTCAGGAAGCTCCATCATTGATTCCTCCATGTCCAATGTGGTTGGAGACATGGAGACAGACAAAAGCCAGGCCTGAAGATGTTTCCAATCCAGTCTGTTGATCATCTAGTAGACTGATGAATCTGTGGTTAATTTTTCTAGTTATGGGCATTTTCTTTTCCTTGTGTCTAAAGACATTTTTTTAGTCATAATTATTGCAGCTTTTTCACAAACAAACCCACTTTTTGTTTGGTGAAGAAACAGAACATGGTTAAATGAGGAGAAGGAACAAAAATAAGTTTCATTATCGGATAAACATCAACAAATATGTGTTCTACTTTTCAGCACTGACAGGAAATACACTAATAAAGTCTGAATACTAATAGTCTGTTGCTCTTGGAGTTGATGGATGTCTATAAAGTTGAGAGGACAGAAAAGTTCTCTACAAAAATGCATCATACGTATCAAACCCTGTTTGTTGCGGTTAAAGGTCATCATCTCTTTCAGATTCTACACCATCCGATACAGGGAGAGGAACAGGAAGTGGATCTACCAGACGTGTCCAACCAGCGACACGGTGATCGATCACCTGAAGCCCGACACCCAGTACGAGTTTGGGGTTCGTTCCAACAAGGATGATCGCAGCGGCCTTTGGAGCAAGCCGGTCATTCACAACACCAACATGGGCAGTAAGGAGAACCCAGAGATCCTGCTGTTGCTGCTCGTCCCTTCCTGAAGCAATGTCTGATAAACACATTCATATCTTGTTCTCTAACAAACTGTTGTTTCTGAATTTGCAGATAAAAAGATCCAGAAACCATACAAGCCCCGTAAGACTGTGGCAAACTCGGTAAGAAACCAGCTGCTCTACCGTTGAACTGGATGCAGTGACAGACGGTTTTATCTCTGGACTAGAATCCTGTTCATGGTCTAACTTGTTCATGGCTTCTCACGGTTTGGCTTTGCTTTGTTTTCCAGAAATTTCACAGTGCCTTCCCTCCTCCCCCCGGTAAGGATTCCTGTCAACGCAGAGTTTAATGTTTCCTCAGCAGGATTCAAACAACTTGATTACAGGTTGGGTCCTTTAAAACTACAGTAATGATGACTGTTGACTTGTTTGCAGCTCTACAAAACAGAACTAGGACTCGAGTGCAGCCAGGTTACAGCAAGCAGGTTAACCCTGGTGCAGCACGGACCTCTTCTGGTGATTATCTCCTCCTTGATGTTTCTGATTAACTCAGGGCCTCCAACCTCTGGACCAGCAGAGCCTTCAGTGAAGTTTGACTGATGGGATTTAGTCTCCAAAATGAATTAGTTAGCATTTCAGGTGGTTGCTGTAGAAATCTTTTCTATTTTTGCTGCTATGTTTGAAAACATTTTCCAAGCTGTGGAAACTATCAGAAGAAAATAATTTTTGGAAGAAGCTTATATCTCCATCAGCCAAACCTGAGCTGTTCTTCTCTGAAATATGGTCGACACTTTTCCACTTCCACCCCTGATTTTTCCTCTTTCTTCGTCTATAAAGTGAGCAAACTGTTTCCCACAGAGTCCCCTGAGAGCCAGCAGGAAACTCTCCCTCTGCCCGGCTCCTCTGAGCCCAAATCTTCTGCCGAGTTGCCCGGTAACCACGGAGATGCTTATTTGTTCTTTAGCCATCAGCTTCATTCATTGGTGCAGCTTCAGCATTGATTGGTTGCATGGTGGCATGCACTCAGCCCAGTCAGAAAGTCCAAACTTCATGCTTATGTCATTGGATAACAGTAAGTTGATATGGCCCCGCCCACCCTCTCATCATGTGACCACAGTCATGCTCAAGCGTCCATCAGCCGCCAGCTTTCCTTCACTTGTTATGTTTCCTTACTGCTTTTTCTGGTTTTCCATATTCTAGTTGGTTTTTCATCCAAAGCAGAGGATTGTTTTCATTAGAAATATTAAAAAACGGATTAATTTCCAAATAATCTGAACTAATCCTCAAAATTTAGCAATTAGAGATTAACAATCACCTGATAATCATTGCATATATGGCTCTATGTCTGTCTGACGGTAATAGATGTCTTCATCGTCTTTCTTTGATGTTTCTGTCATAGCTGCATTTTCTAACTCGGACTGCATGACAGGTCTGCATGCCACCGAGTTCAGATGCCGACGTTGTTGGACTTTCTGGAGAAAGACAACACAAGTGGTTCATGATTACTGGGACCAAAACATTTGAAGTGTAGTTTAGAGGAATTGTTTTCAGACACAAAGATGAAGGATTGATTTAAAAAGCAGCCGAGGTTTGAATTGACTAAAGAAAGTCTGAACAATGCCGATTAAAGACATTTCATTTCAAACCCACTCGGTCTCAGTACTCAGAGGGAAACTATGAAGGGAGCAATGCTGACCTCTTTGGCTCAGGTTCCCATCATCACAGACGTCTCTCTTCTCTGTCCCAGAAAAAGGAAACAGTCTTAGAATCAACAGAACCCGGCCTGCAGACCGTCTGACTCCTGCCCTCCCCAAGCTGCTGCCAAGCACCACCCCTCGCACCAACATCACTGCCTCCCCCATCACTAACCTCCCCTCCAATGGCGACTCACTTCATGGGCAGACTACCAAGGCCCCCAGTAGGGCACCAGAGAAGCACCCTAACACTGCGGGTAATTCGCACCTTTCACTTCCTTCTGTTTATCCACCTCTTGGTTTAACACTGGACTCCGCTATGAACAAACCTGAGGCCCCATGGCTGCTTTATTTTGACAGGCTGGAAGCTCCTCTTCCTGTGAAAAATGTTTGTTTTTTTAAGCCTTATTTTATCCACACAGCTGCTGTCAGAGCTCAGGATGGCTCATCATTGCTGAGGTCAGCGCTGGCCACTGAGCGGGTCAGACCTTCCACCTGGGGTAATGCTCATCTCACCTGCTTGTAATCAGAGGCAGCCTTGCTCTGTCTGCTCTCTCTCTTCAGCTTCCAGGGAATTATGTTCATTTTCAGGTCTGGCTGCTCCACAGATCTTCTCCTTTAGATCATCTCATCCAGTGTCTGCATGTAGCTCATCATGTTTCAGTCATGGCTGTTTGCCATACTTCAATAGCAGCTTCACTGACTGCGGGTTTAAGATTGTTAGAGCTGATAAACTCATCATCACCATCATCATCATCACCATCATCTTCATCATGCTATTACCCAAATTAAACCCTATCAGGTGGTCCATCACTAACCTCATAGCTCGGGCTGCTGCAAGCTGGCTATCTTTGCGTCACTCTGTAACCAGACCTGCACCTGTTTTTGATCTTTTAGGTGAAAGCAGCAGAAATGTGAGCCCATCACTCCCAGTGAAAACCTCCAGCCCAGCAGCTTCCCCAGTGTCCATGAGGAACCCCCTCTTTCCCTTCTCTAACAGCTTCAGACAGCTCCACTCTCCTTCTAGATCCAGTAGCTCCTCTCCAACATCTGGGATACTTGGGGGTAATCTGCCATCCGTCCTGTACTTTCACTCTGCTTCCAGTTGGACCCCCCACCCCCAGTTAACCAGGACATCTACCAGGACAATCTGTGTAGCTTTATTCGCCAGAACCGTTAGTTGAGGTTAATAATGAAGAGGCCGCTGGTGCTGAACTGGACAGCAGCATCTTAGTTCCTTAGAAACACTTTGAATCAGGAGAAGCATCAATAGATCAACATGAGGGTCGGATTTGGACTGAAAGATTTAGGAAAACCTTTGATCATGATGCTTCTGAATGTATTAGTTATAGTTTAGGATCAGTTCAGCTGTACAGCCGACACCAAGCATCATCTCCTGCTGATTTTAACATAAAGACCAGAACTCTCATTTAGAACGACGCTTCAGACAAAGTGGTGAAAGCTTTAGGTTGGTACTAAAATATTAAACATTATGAAAAGGATTTAGGGAGTTAATGAGACATAAAGGAAGGTTTGTGCAGCTTCTTAAGGAAATTACCATTAAAAACAAAACAAACTGGACATTTAGAATTCAGGAGATATTAATAATTTATAACAATGTTCCACGTATTCAATCTGTTGGAATAATGGCATAAAGTTCAGTTTATTAATCATTTAAAGATCAGGAAACATCAAAATAAATAGTTAAGTAGATGAAAAGCAAATAGATGTTGGAGCTTCTTCCACAGATCAGGTTTAATGAACTAATTCCAGATGTTAACCTCTGCTGGTTTCCATCATCAATCTGAGTTAAACAGAATAAACAGTTAATTGATTGTTTTCCTGAAGCTCCTGCAGAACCAGAATAATTCACTGAGTTTGCTTTTAAATCTGAAGCGCGGGTCACACCAGCTTTTTAGCCTCTGATCCGATTTTTTTTATTTTTTATGAAAAGTTATTAAAATGAATAAATGACAACCAGCAGCTCATTCTATAAAGCAAAGCTCTACTTAACGAGTATGTGCAGCTTCTAGAACCAGAACAGATAGAAACATAATGAGATCTACGTCTAAAGAAAAGAGAAACGCAGCAATAAACTCTGAGGGATGGATTCCATGGCGACTGAGAGGTGATTCTCAGAGAGATCTGGAAGTTTTTCTTTCCTTTTTCCATAAAGAGGTGAGAGAGATGCGCTGCTCTGACCTGCTCTGTCTGCTCCTCTTTATTCTGGAGGATCAACTACTTTATCCGTTCATGGGGAAACTTTTTATTTTCATGTTTTTGCTCCAGTCTGTTCTGCTCACTATAAACGCGACTCCAGACGGACTCTTTCCTCTTCAGATTAACAGATTTGATTTGGGATTTTCCCCCAAAGCGGATGAGTTTTACTTTGTCACTGTGTCTCTCTTCCTGTCAGGCCCTTTAAATTGCTGCTGAATTGCTGCATAGTCCAACTAAAGTAGACCTGGGCTCTATCTCAGTCCGAGCTACGCTGCCCCCTGCAGGAAATCATCCTCACCGACTTTCAATCATCGCCCTGATCTCTAAGGGATGATTTTCAGCTGGATTGGAAAGAAAATCGGATTCAGTTTGTTCTGGGCTTTAATCTGAGATAATTCAACCAGCGATCAGCTCTATGCTGGATGTCCTCATTAATCTGATTGCTCCATCAAACTGTCCTCATTAATCTGATTGGTCCATCAAACTCTGCATTGATTAATTTTACGTTTCCACCAAACTTCTCACACCAACCACACATTATCTTTATCTCAGTTAAACTGGGCTCCTCTCTTGACTAGGGTTGCCATAGTAACTCTTAAATAATGTGGATGAGCCGGCTCATTTAAATATACAGTGACACTTTGATGGAGCATTGATGGTTGGATGTGGGCATGAGGAGGGAGGAGCCTTGAGGGAAAACTGATCATCATCTGAGATTGAAAAGAAAGCTGCTGACTTTATAATTCTGGACTTGTTAACATTTCTGGGTGTTTTATGGATCTGAGGCCACGTTTTCTACTAAAGACCGCTGCTCCATGTAGCAGCAGACAGTCATGACAATCCTGCAGGTATTTCCAGAATCCTGTTGATTATAACCCCCAACATTGCCAACTGGAGGCAAAAAGTTGAAGTTTCTCTTTGTTGAAATCAACTTTTGTGACCCTTTTTGAAAAACATCCTTTCCGTTTCTACTATCAATGACTGACATTTTATTTAGTTGCTTAACCTCCCGGGTGAACAACCAACCTGCTTTTCAGGTCCTGATTCTGGCTGACAGACTTCTGTCCTATTGGAGGACGTTCACGAGTGTTAATTAGTTAATTAGTGTTAATTATTTCTGCTATGGAAATAATCAGCCTAGTTAACAGAAGTAAAGTGGAAACTATTTTCCCAGTTTTGACGATTTAAATAAGATCACCAAGTAAAAACAGTCATAGCTTCCTAGTCCTATTGTCTTAGCTGCATTCATGATCAGTGTTTAGATATCAGGCATGAAAGGATTTCCTCTGTGGAGACCAGTTGAAGTCATTGGTTTGATCGTTTTCTGTATTTTAAAGCTGTGGTTTTCAAAGCACAGTCCTCTGGAGGGTTAAACTCATGTTTTCATAATGGAGGATGTGGAAAAATGAACCGGTCTGTGTTCAATTCTTTCTGAAACTTTAACAAAGAACCAGCTGAAGCTGAAGCCACATGTTGGCGGCGCAGATAACGTCCTACAGACCGAACCGAGCTGATTGGGAAAAGCTTCTCTGTTGTAGTTTCTGCTCGTCTCCCTCTGAGGTTGTTGAGGAAGTAACAAAGCCATAACAGACATGTGGTCAATAGCGGTCGCCGTGACGACTGAAAAGCTTTGGTTGGTTGTTTTCTCGGTGGGTTCAGCCTTCAGATTCTCTCCTATAACGATCAATTCTCTCCCAACAGTGAACGGACAGCCTCGCCGGGGCATTTCTTCCCCCAAACTGACCATATGGCCCAGAGCTCGACTGGGTAAAGAGACTCGTCCTTCTGTGTCCTCATTAACCCTTCACTTCCCGCTTTGCAGCATTTACATCTCCACTGTGGCTCATGTTGCAGTCCTCATCTATTAATATATTTGTGTCTATCTCCTCATCCATCCATCTGTCCACCCATGTTCCATGTTTTCAGCTTAAAGTCAAGTTTCTGCCCGTTTCCAGCAATGTTTCTGCAGAAGGTCCTTCAAATAATCAGGACTGATTATTTGAAAGGCTCTATCAGTTGAATAGCAGCAGTGGGTTCTGTCATCTTTTGCTCCATGTTCTGATGGGGGGGGGGGGGGGGGGGGGGGGGTTAGCTTTAACTAAGATCTGTTGGTGCATCCAAACCATTGATCTGGGACCTGTTTAAAGCATAAAGATGTAAACATTGGTTCTGCACATGGCTGGAATATTCAGGCTCATTTTACTGAAAGAAGAAAAGTCCAAACAGTCATGTTTCAGTTGCACTACCTTTCCTGCTGCAGTCAACAACTCGGTGACGGAGAACCGGAAGCCTGGCATTCCTTCTGTGTTTGGTCGTTCACGTGCTTCCATGGAGGAGCAGCATCATGGTTGGTAGCAGCATGAATCCCGCCTGTCTTCACCCATAGCTCTGCTGCCTGCTTTAGCTGCTCCAATCAGCCAGCACCGCATGGTTTGATGCTGTTGCGGATCAAGAAGCAAACCTCACATGGGACCAGTGAGGGAAAGAAGCTCCAGCCAAAGACCTCGGCACAGCTTGTGGAAAATACTTTGTTCTTGGAAAATATGAACTCAGCTGACAGTTTGCTTATTTTCAAGAAGCTTGCTCTGTGGGGCTTTGTTCTGTTTCACGCCTCTGATGTTTAAACTGCTTCTAGCTAGCCTGCCATGCACCTGGTACCTTCACCCAGACCTGCGGTGTTATTTTAATGCTTTTTGCTTGAGTTTGAGCTCGCTTGGCGGAAGACATGATGCTGTAAAGATGATGTGGATAGAAACGACTGCATGTGTGCACTGATCACTTTCCATAGTGATGTGGAAACAGCAGTTGGTGTATGAGTATCTTTGTGTGTGAAACAATGAAAAATTCATGCAGACCTTTATTTCACTTGGTCTCACATTGTAATCATGAGCAGAAAACATAATTACAGAAGTTTCCATTCAGACCGTCCAGTTATAATCTGCTCTGCATTTATTGGTTCCTTCTTCTACTGGCAAACGTTCTGCTTTATGCCCAAAAATAACAGAAGTTTAGTGAAGAAAGCAGGAGAGTTCTTAGAAATCAAACTACTGAGACTGCAAACATTCCTCTGTCATATTTACATGGAGCTGATTGGAAGGCATGCCTCTGCATTGTTTCAAGTTACAAGCTAAAATCACTCCGTCGTCTTTCATGTTTCTGGTTTTGCATTTATGCCATTTAGCTTTGGAAGACGTTCAATTCCCTGATTGTGAGGAATTCTGGCTTCTTCTTAAATGGAGGAAAGGGGTGTAATTGGTTGCAGGTTCTGGACCTTGCAATGAAAAACATATACCGGCTTGTGAATATAGAGTGGATTGTTCATGTTTTAAGGTCCATTTGGCTTTGGGGAGTCAGAACAGAACTCTGTATTGGTTAAACATACATTTTCCCAGGAGATTAAAGAGAACCTGGATACATGTTTTGTTTTATGAAGACAGAATTTCCTCAGAAGCCAAAACTTCGGCCTGGCTCTCATTTCTGCCTTGCACCACTTCAAAAACACATAAAAGCACACAATCTTACTCGGGTAGAGGAACTGGACCAATGGTTTCCATCAAAAAGAAAAGAGCAGCTTTGTTTTATTTTTTGCATTTACAGAAAGTCGTTAATGGTTCAAAGTTCAGAGACAGAACTTGAGTAGATCAACCATATTCTGCTTGTTTTAGGGTCTTCTGTTCGCACAGCTCTCAACAGCAGGCCAAACGATGTAAGAAAACCTGGAGAAACTGGTAAAAACCTGTAAATCTTAGCATTCTCATTTCACACTTATGTTTAGACACCTTTATAATCCAGTTTTCTTCAGACAAGGTGAACCGCCCGGAGAAAAGTGGAAACCCGGAAACCCTGAAAGTTAAAGTCCAAGCTGGAACGACCAAACCAACAAAACAGGAACGCAGACAAACAATCAGTACTGCGGCACCAACAGCCGGTAAATAATCAGGGGGCAGGGAATGATCCGGAAGTTGAAAGTTTTTGGGTGGAGCTTTGTTTTAGCAGCTGGTGCCATTATCAAGTTTATTTCCTCACCTGTTACAACATTCCTTTCTTTAGTGACTCGACAGGAAAGCTGGGAGGATTCTGACCTTTTCAAGTCGCAACCAACGTCTGATGTTGATGCGCTGGGAAAGAAGCGTTATGTGGGTAAGCAAAAATAAGCCCAACTTGTTCCTTTTGTTCCAAGCACTGACTTGTGGGAACAAACTTCCTGTAAAGTTTTATTCCCTGAATGAATTAATCTTCTATCCACAGCTCCTCATGTGGTCTACAAAACCGGTAAGAAGCCTGATGAACCGTGCTCCATCACCTCCTCCCTTAACTACTTCCCTGAAGATGAGCCTGGAGAGGTGAATGTGACATCTCCTCCAAGGAATCCACCTTCCAACCTCACTGTGGTGACGGTGGAGGGATGTCCTTCCTTCATCATCCTGGACTGGGAGAAACCCGACAACCACACCACCGGTAGGTCATCATTAACTGCCTACGGTGAGGTGCTGAATGTTACGCAACAAACAGCAAGTCTATTGTCCTTTCTGCAGAATATGAGGTCATTTCCACTGCCAAAGGACCAGATGGAGAACGGGTTTCCATCCTAACTACCAACCAGACTCACACTGCAGTGGAGAACCTCAATCCTGAGAGCAGGTATTTCAGTTCTCTGGCCTTGCTTTGGCCAGGCTCATTCTGCAGAAGGTTATAATTCTGAGGTAGTTCAGCTGTCCCAATGACCCATGAAGACGGATCTGTCAGCAGATGGAGTTGCAAAGGTTCCTGTCTACAGATGGTCAAACAATGAAGATCTAATGAATGAACTGAGACTGTAGGAGGCTGTTAGTGAAAGCGTTAGAAGGTTCTGTTAGCTTCAACCTGGGTGTTTCTGGTCTGCAGGTTCTAGATGTGGGTTCTGCTGTACGTGTTTGAGGGCAGGTCTGGTTCACTTTAGGCTCAGTTTGGGTCAGAGAGCAAGAAAAGCAAATACCAGAAATCCCCAAAATACGCAAAGTTTCCATTTCTGTACTGCAAAGACTTGAACTGAGTTTCAAAATGACTAAATTAATGTTTCTAAAGCAGCTTTCACTCTCTCCTCTCCTTAGTTATGAGTTCAAGGTGAAGCCGAAGAACGAGCTGGGAGAAGGTCCGCTGAGCGAACCAGTGTCCTTCAACACAGAGTCTGGTCAGTTTCTCCCATCATCAGAGTTAAACCCATGCAGCTCCTGCCAGACCGACTCCTGTCTCCGCACAGCTGCAGCTACTTAAAATTAAAATGAACACCAAGTTCAGATAAATAAATGAACTGATCGGTCCAAGAAATCCATATTCTTGAGTAATCTGAACAACTGCCTGCCTGGGGCTGCTGAAATAAACAATCCATCAAATGACAAATGGGCCATGAAGGCCCTTCCTGTTGGCTGTGTTGGCTTCACTGCAGCTCAGATATTCATTATGGATCGTATTAAACACGTAGAGGTCTGAGTGAAGGAAAGCAGCCAGTCCCAAAGTCTCTCAGGGGTTAATCGTTGAAGGACTTTGATGATTGTTTTTCCTTGTTTCTCAGTCCAGTAGTCCTGGAATATATTAATATGGAAATCGTTTTCTTTGTGCAGCCGATCCGCGCGTGAGCGAGAACGTCTCAGGTAGGTTTCTTCTCCACTCTGCTGCTTCTTCATGTCTCGGCTTGATATGCAGACCTCATATGGTTTTCCATGCAGGAAAAGATGCCATCTGGACTCAGTTCCCTTTCAAGACGGACTCGTACTCTGACTGCCACGGCAAGCAGTACGTGAAGAGGACCTGGTACCGCAAGTTTGTGGGAGTCCAACTGTGTAACTCGCTGAGGTACAAGATCTATCTGGGCGAAACACTGAACGGTGAGAGCTGATTTAAAATAGGTGGAGCAGATGGACTGGGCAGGTCGGTCTGGTCCTGACCTTCTCACTTCATGTTTTGGGTCAAAGGTGAATTCCACAACATTGGTGATCAGAGCGGCTTTGGTGAGGACCACTGTCAGTTTGTGGATTCCTTCCTGGATGGGCGAACAGGCAGACAGCTCAGAGCGGACCAGCTCCCCTCCAGGAATGGTAATTATCAAGCTTCAGAACTGCAGCACCAGAACAGCGTTTATTGCTCTCTGATGGGATATAAATTACTTTGATCAGCACCGTTTCAGAGCCAGACGTTCAGAGCAGGATCCGGTCGATCTTCTGAAGCACAGATTTGGCAAACTGTTCTTCTTTGCAGAGCCTCGTCTGTAACTCTCCCGTCTTTTCCTCCTGGTTCAGGTTTCTTTAGAGCTTTGCGCCAGGAGCCCGTCAACTTTGGACTGATAGGTGGACATTCCCACATCAACTACGTCTCCTGGTATGAATGTGGAACGCCAATCCCTGGGAAATGGTAAACGGGCTGTGATCCACAAGAAAGGAACTTGTTGCCCTCAGCTGGGGGCAGAAAAAGCATGGGTGGGGCTTAAAGCAGCTGGACCCGGAGCTTGTTACCCAGTGCTGTAAAAACCAGAACATGTACAGGACTTCCTCATCAGGGAACTGTAAGGAGAGCATTTGTACAACTATAGCGAACATGCCTCCTCCCTATTTATCAAGAACCAGTGCTACAGTGATGTTAGAGCTGGAAAAACTCAACTTAGATATATTTTATTTTTTGTTAAATCATGGGAAGCTGGCTCCCTGGAAGGTGTTATTTATCCAAAGGTCTTTGGTCTCATTTGTTCATGTTTGCTGACAGGCAGGAAGTGAAAGGGGGGGTTGGTAAAGAAGATACCATCATCCTCCACATTCACACTTTAACTGGCAGTGATTCAATGTCCCACCCCCTCCATGTTGACCATACAGTCCTCTAGGAAACTGTAACTGAAAATGAAATGTCAGTTCATACTGTTTTACTGTTTTTCTCTTTTCTGTTGCCTGCAAATGTTATTTTCTCTCCTCATGACCAAATGTTTCATTTAATTTACTGACCTACTAGTGCAGCATGATGTTGCAGCTATCCTCTAAACCAGTCGTCATGCAGCTCTGCTTCTTAGTACTTTAGAATATGTGACAGGTTTGATGCTGACAGAACAATAATTACACATTGATTGTGTAGCAGATCCGATGGAGCTTTTCCTCTTTTGCTTTTTGCACAGGAGAAATTTACGTGCTGTTAAAGAAGAAAATATTCTTAAATAGTTAACTTTGAAAAAGGTTTGCTGTCTCTCTTCCTCTGGTCCCTGGCCCTCCCGGCGAGCTGCGTGTGGCCCCAAGGAAAACCAGCAATGCGTGTTGTCGTCACAGAATTACAGAGTTTAATCCAATATAAGACAATGCACAAACTTACACCAGAAACTGCAGAACAACGGAGACATACATTCAATTACCTGACCTAAATGGAGAGAAGGAAAGAAAGCAAAAACGTACAAAGACATCTTTGGAGAGTTGCAAGAGAAAATCTGATTTGTTACTTCTGTGTAGTTTTATCCTCTTGTATTTAATTTATTCAAATAAGGCTGGCTTTTGCTCCTCCAACCAGGAGCTATCTTGGACACTCAGAAAAACTTAGAACTTCCCCCAATTTACAGCAAACATCTGGGGTCATTTGCTTCTTTGTTTTAACAAGAAAAAGCGGAAAGCTTGTCTTGTCTTGGCCTCTAGAATTCTTAAGGTCATCTGGCTAAGATAAGATTTCACAGACAGCTGTGGAATGCGGGGCCTCTCCTACCATAAATTCTCAGGAACAAACTTAAATTCAGTAATTTGGTTCAAGGAAAGGTTATCTTCACAAACTTGTTCAAAATTAAGAAATATGTTCAAAATGAGAGTGCTCAACATACCTTTTACACATGCCATAAGATTAACTGTATTAAAAACTAAAAATAATCATTTTTCTTTAACAGTACAAACTTTCTACGGTCAGCGGTCTTTTTTTTACTCCCATTTTCCTCCAACTGAAGTGTAAAGCAGACTTCCTCTTCTTCTGATGCTAACGGCACGCAGCTAGCTGCCTGCAGCTAACGGCACTCAGCTAGCTGCCTGCTAGCATTTCTGCCGAGGGTTTTATTAGAGGCAATGGTGGCCTAGTGGTTGAAAATTGGGTTTGGCCTCCGATAGGTTCTGAGTTCAAGTCCAACTCATTCAATCAGCCGGTCACTCTGGGTCCATGAGCAAGACCCTGCTCCCTGGACGCCACACAATGGCAGCCCACTGCCCCCCAAAGGCTTAAAGGGTTAAATGCAGACATTGTGGGACAATAAAGGATTTATTTTTTTTACATTTTCCAAACCAAGAAGCTAAAAAAAAAAAAATAAATTCAAAGAGTTTTTTTTTTATTTCCTTTTTTATTACATTTTTTTTTAAACCAAACTGTAGGATGTTTAACTCAATTGAGCATATTGGTTCTTTAAGCTCTTTTTCTTAGAGAGCAGAACAGGTGCTGGCCAATATTATGCCTGATTTTCTTTAACAAGATGGAAAAAGCAAATATTTTCTAAAGCATGAACAGTGGTGTTCCAACTGACTCCCTCCAAAATATGTATAAAGTGTATAAAATCTCTTAGAAAGCTCAATATAAATATGGACAGTTGTGGAAATTGTCTGCTGGTTTCTGGAAGAGTCCAGCAGTGAAATGAGAGGCACAGAGATGTGGAGTTTATTGCTCCAAGGCCAAAGTCCTGAAAAGTTTCAAACATCTTTGCTTTGCCAAAATATTGATTTCATTGTTTTCATTTCCTGTTTGAGGAGGTTGAACGAGGCTTTCATACGGTGCAGTGCAGATGCAGGTCATTTTTCTACATGCTGTATCCAAGTCCTGCAGGACTGTTGCTCCCTGATCATCTAACTTTACCTTTTAGCTGCAGCTGAATGAACTCATGCAAACAGCCTGAAAATATAAAGAACAGGTTGATTAAATGCAGGAGAAACATTTGGAATAAAACGTAGAATGTATTGATTATTTATATATATATATATGTTTGTTTCTGTATCGTTTTTAATAAAAAACATTTTTTTCAAATGTGTCTTGTGTAAGCTGACTTCTACACAAAGAGCTTATATATTCACACAATAAACCCATATAGTGGTGGAGTTGGAAGAGTCTCAGTATTAAACATGTTTTCCAGGCTTGTCTGATGGATTTCATTTAATGGATCAAATAAGCTGCAGACCCAAAACCACAGTTTCCACTGTAAACTATCCAAACTGGATGCCAGTGTTGTCTGGGCTCCAGGGAAGCAGAGAGATGATTCCCAAAGGAAAAAATGGACCCGAACTGGAATCCCTCAACTTCCAGCTCTGTCAGACACATCTAGAATATTTTCTCTGCTGCAGGTAGATTTCATGATCTTCAGTAAATCAAAGAAGCAGCAGATGAAGAAAATGTTTTGATAGCTGTCAGTTTCCGTCATTAAAACATTGATAAGCTGATGCTTCAGTTCGTAGTCTGATCTGGACTGTTTTCATGTTTTCATCTGTAGAAGAATATAAAGGGTTAGAACGAGCAAAATGACAAACTCCATCGAACCAAAACCGTATCTCTGCTGCAATTCTAACCACTACCAGCAATACAATCTAAAATGATGCATTTTTCTTCCTTGTGTTTAAACTTTTAAGATCTTCACACATCTGTAATATTTACTAAACCTTATTAAGAGCTAAAGTGAAGTTAGGGTCACTGGTCTAAGGGAAATAATACCTAATACTGTGTTCTAGAGACACAGTATTAGGTCTGGCACGGAGGAAACTCGTAAATAAGGTATTTTGGTCATGTTGGTCCTCCTCCTGGTCTCTGCTCCTTAAGAAGGAATGTAATCAGCAGTGATGAGGAGCACCTGCTCGCCACGCCTGCAGAGAAGAGAGAGAGAGACAACCCAGCCCTGTACCCAGGCCTGGAGCACGACACAACATCCATCTACCGGTTAGTACAGTCTCACCCTACCCTTGGATTGTTTTAAGTGATTCCATATCTTTGGATTTTAAAAAGGTCATTGAGCTGGTGGGGCAACGCCCTCTATTGGCCAGCCGCCACTGGTTGAACGCTCCTAGTCCTACCTGCTTCAGGGTTTGGGATAGTAGTGATGGGCAAGTGAAGCCTCATGAAGCAATGAAGCTTTCCAACGCAAAGTGTTGAAAAAAGTTCATTACTCGATGCTTCATTCATCACTCACTAGTGACATCTGCTGGTGAAACTGTAACAGCCTTGTTACTCAGTTGGATCATACTTCCAAATATTAGGAAATGCAATATTGTCACAAAGTTTTCATCAAACTCATGTTTAGTAAGAGAAGAATCCTATTTAATTGTCATGTTTTAATGATTAAAATGATTTGTAGCCAATCTAATCCTTGACCATCAGTGGTGGTGTTAGGTTTTCTTTTATGACATGGACTTATTAGACAATGAAGATATGTGTTACTTTAATGTATTGAGAACTGAGTGACTGTTGCTGCAGACTCTGTGTACTTTGAGCTTGAAACTTGCTTCCTTAAAGACAGAATTTGTTTAAAATCATCTCTTCCTAGGAGTTCTAGTTCTGATTCTTAATATTAAGTTACACATAGAGTTTGCCTCTTCTAATGGCTTTTAGTCTGGTTTTGATGTGTGATTCTGATGCATCTCCTGATTAAACAAAAGAAAATATAGAAATTTCTGGATTTTAGGTTTAATTGTTTTTATTTAGGAATAGGACTTTTTTCACTGTTTCAGGTTGTGATTGTGATCTGTCATCTCATAATACTCCCACATATGAGAGGTTTTTCTCTTTTTTGACGGCTCCATTTCAACCACTGCTGATGAAATCTGTTCTGCTGATACCAAACCACCTATTACACCCCACGAAGCAACAGGATTCATCGCGCTTTTATTTTGAAAACCGACACGCAAAATGAAGCAGTCACGTGACCAATGCAATGCGAGGCCTCGTTTGTTGCCAGTCACGTGGTTTTCAACAAGACAACACAGGCCTCGGAGCGGGGCTTCATTGACACGCCCCCTTATTACTCGGTACAAGCCTCGAAGCCTGGCTTCAGATAGCCCATCACTATGGGATAGTCCTTAATGTGGCGAACTGAGGCTTAGTGCTTAGGCGCTGGTTTGGGATTACTTTTTATCAGTTTTTAGCAGAATCCCAAAACTCTCAGTAATATCAGTGGGTCCTTATCTTTTGTTGGGGGAGCAAACAGCTGTTAGCAGCGGTCGATACTTGAAGTCACAGTGTTAAAGTGACACACTTATTCCGACTGGGACAAAATGTACTCTTAAAGTGTTACTTTACACTGAAGCATTTACTGTGAAGACGTGTTTCTCTGAAGTCTTGGGCAGGTTTTGGTGTTTGTCCTGTCAGGGGTCTTTTCAGATCGAGGTCTGGTTGTTTGTTCTTTGCTCCAAGCATTTCCCAGTTGGGGCTTCTGGTCTGGTTATTATTGCCATTGGATGCAGCACCTTATTTCTCACTTCTGTTGGTTAATTGTCTTTCTGATGAGTTTGTATTTAAATCCAGCGGTGGGGTTATGTCCGTGCTTTGGAAGTAGTCACTGGCAGGGTTATAGAATAACCATAACCACTATTTACTACCACATTCACTTCCAGTCTGTGTTAATTTCCAAGACAGCCATCCTCCATAAAAGTACTGTGGGGTTAAGGGAGGCATTGTTGCTGAAGTGGACATGTCCATCTCTGCGGTGTGATAAAAAAAAACAACTGTTTAAAAAGTAGAGTAGCTAGACAACATAACATGGAAATTTTTATATTTGTAACTGTTTTTACTGTATGTTTTTAATGTGGA